ATGTATGCAACACATTCTGCTTATCAATTCATCCATAGATAGATGTTTAACTGTTATGAATAATGGTTGCTGTGTACACATATCTCTTCAAGATGCTGTTTACAATTCCTTTTGGTATATAGTATATCATATTCATAAGTGGAATTGCTGGACCATATAGTAATTTTACTTTTAATTAATTGAGAGACTGTCATACTGTTTACCACAGCAGATGCACCATTTCACACCCCCATCAACAGTTCCTTTTTTCACATCCTCACCAATACTTATTTTTTTGTTTTTAATGGTAGCTATCCTAATGACTAGGAGGTAGTATCTTACTATAGTTTTGATATGCATTTCTTTGATGATCAGTGATGTCAAGTATCTTTTCATGTGCTCATCAATCGTGCATGTATCTTCCTTGAAGAAATTTCTATTCAAGTCCTTTGCCTATTTTTGAACAAGATTATTTTGTTGCTGTTGTGTTTTAGGAGTTCTATGTATTTCCTGGGTATTAATATCTTATAAGATACATGATTTGCAAATGTTTTCCCCCATTCTATGGGGGACCTTTTTATTTTGTTGATATTATCCTTTAATGCAAAAAAAATTTAAGAATTTTTGTGAAGTCCAGTTAGTTTCTTTTTTCTTTTGTTGCTTGTGCCTTTGGTGTCACCTCCAAGAAATAAACAAATCCAGTGTCACAGAGCTCTGTGCTGTTTTCTTCTAGGAATTGTCTGGTTTTAGGCATTATATTTAGGTGGCGAATTCATTTGGGTTTGTTTTTTCTAAATGGTGCTAGCTGAAGGTTTAACTTCATGTTTTACTTGTAGATATCCAATTTTCTCAGCACTGTCCTTTTCCCACTGAATGGCCTTGGTACCATTATCAAAAATCATTTGATCACATATACAAGAGTTTATTTCAGGGCCCTCTGTTCTATTCCATTGGTCTATAAAACTGTTTTTGTGCTATTTTCACACTTTTTGATTACTGTAGCACTGTAGTAAGTTTTGAAATCAGGAAGTGTAAGTGCAGCAACTTTGTTCATGTTTCAAGATTGTTTAGTTTATCCTGGGCTACTTCACGTTCCATACAAATGTTAGGATAGGTTTTCCTGTACAAAAAGCATCACTGGGATTTTGCTAGAGATTTCATCAAATCTATAGATTACTTTGGATAGTACTGATATCTTAACAATATTAAGACTACCGATCCATGAATATGAGATGTCTTTCTATTTATTCACGTATTATTTAATTTCTTTCAGAAATTTATTTTTATTTTTTATTTATTTTATTTATTTATTTATTTATTTATTTGGAGACAGAGTCTCACTATGTCACCCTCAGTAGTGTGCCATGGTGTCACAGATCACAGCAACCTCAAACTCTTGGGCTTAAGCGATTCTCTTGCCTCAGCCTCCTGAGTAGCTGGGATTACAGGTGCCTATCACAATGCCCAGCTAATTTTTGCAGTTATCATTGTTGTTTAGCAGGCCCAGGTCAAACGGGCTCAAACTCATCAACCTCTGTGTACATGGCCAGCACCCTACTCACTGAGCTACGAGTGCTGAACCTATTTTTTTTTTTTTTTTTTTTTTGAGACAGAGTCTCACTCTGTCACCTGGGTAGAGTACCATGGCATTATAATAGCTCGCAGCAACCTTAAACTCTTGGGCTCAATCTATTTTCTTACCTCAGCCTCCACAGTAGCTGGGACTACAGGAGCCTAGCCATAATGCCCAGCTATTTTTTCTATATTTAGTACAGATGGGGTTTCACTCTTGATCAGGCTTGTCTCGAATTCCTGAGCTCAAGCAATCTGCCTGCTTCAGCCTACTACCCATGTGCTAGGATTACAAGCACGAACCACTGCACTCAGCCTCTTTTAGAAATTCTTGGAGCTTTTATTGTATAAGGTTTTCACCTCCTTGGTTAAATTACTTCCTAAGTATTTTGTTCTTTTTGATGTTACTATAAATGGAAATTATTTTTGTAATTTTCCATTCAAATTCTTCATTGTTAGTATATAGAAATGCAGCTGATTTTTGTATATTAACTTTGTACCCTGATGCTTTGCTAAATTCATGTATTAGCTCTATCCGGTTTGTGTGTGTGTGTTTGTGTGTAATCTTAGGGTTTTATATATGTGAGGGCTTACCATCTGTGAGCAGAGATAACTTTACTTTTTCCTTTCCAATTTAGGTGCTTTTTATTTCTTTTTCTTGCTTAATTGCTCTGGCTTAAACTTTCAGCATAGTGTTGAATACAAGTGGGAAAAGTGGGTATCTTTGCTTTGTTCTTGATCTTAAAGGAAAACTTTCACCCTTTCACCATTGAGTATGATGTTTACTATGGATTTTTCAAATATGCTTTTATTATGTTAAGGTACTATCTTTCTATGTTAAGTTTGTTTAGTGTTTTTATCATGAAAAAGTTTTGACTTTTATTAAATGTTTCTTATGCATCATTTGAGATGACTATTTATTTATTTATTTATTTATTTTGCAGTTTTTGGCCAGGGCTGGGCTTGAACCCACCACCTCCGGCATATGGGGCCAGTGCCCTACTCTTTTGAGCCACCAGCACCAACAAAATATTTTTGTCTTTCATTCTATTAATGTATTGTATTACATGATTTTTTTAAAAAATGTGAACTCTCCATGCATTCCAGAAATAAATCCCACTTGGTTGCAGTGTATAATCCTTTTAATGTGCTGCTTAATTACATTTGTTAGTGAGTTTTTTTGTTTGTTTGTTTGTTTTGAGTATTTTTACATCAGTGTTTGTAAGGGATATTTACCTGTAATTTCTTTTTACTGTAGCATCCCTGGCTGGTTTTGTTAGCAGGGTGATTCTGGCCTCATATCACGAATTAGGAAGTATTCCCTTTTCTTCAATTTTTAAAAAGAAGTTCAGAAAGGATTAGTCCTTCTTTAAATGTTTGTTAGAATTCACCAGTGAAGCCATTTTGTGCAAACTAACTCCTTAAAAGCCCAAGACTCTTGGGCCAAGGACACAAATCATAGAGCTGAAAAGGACCTTAAAACTTTTCGTGCTCAACTAATTTATTAATAATTACATTTTCACGAGCAATTTGCTTACAATTGTATATTTAGGAGCAAAAGTAGAGTAAATCCCTGGCCCCTGACTCTGAGTATAATGCTCTTTGTAACATGATAGTCTCCGAGTAAAATATGTCTTTATACAATATAAAATTGTACAGGAGATACTGCACACCCTCTGCCTATGTCTTCTCTCACATTCCCTCGGTTTCCTTCTCCACCTGATATCACCCGAACTCAGGGGTGAGTAGGCATGCTACTTAGTCACAAGGAGGGTCCTCAGAGCAGTGACACACAAAGGGCAAAAGGAGGAGGGATTAACTAGGGACACAAAGGCAGCTGCACAGAGGCCCCTCTCCATCCTGCCTCCAGCCCCCACGCCTGCCATTAAAGTAAAGAAGCAAGTATCACGTGACTAGCCAGTAGTGACATCAGTCAGCTCCCTCTGCAGCACTCAGAACAGACTCCCAGGCCCCACCAACTGGGTGACACTGGAGTGCAGGGATGGGTGCAGCCCAGAAAGCATTTTGTCAAGGGAGGGCTGCCTCCTAGATGTAGTTGAGGCCAATTAGGCAGAAATAAGGGGTCAAATTAGAGGCTTTCTTCTTTGCAGCCGCTGTTTCTGTACTATTTTTTTCAGAAAAAAATAGTACAAAATAAAAAATAAGAAAGAAACACCTCATGAAAGTATTTGTTTTGAAGAGCATTGGGGGCCAGGCGTGGTGCTCACTCCTGTAATCCCAGCATTCTGGGAGGCCGAGGCAGATGGATAGCCTAAGCTCACAAGTTGGAGACCAGCCTGAGCCAGAGCGAGACCTCGTCTCTAAAAAATAGCCAGACATTGTGGCAGGAGCCTGTAGTCCCAGCTACTTTGAAGGCTGAGGCAAGAGAATCACTTGAGCCCAAGAGTCAGGTTGCTGTGAGCTATGATGCCATGGCACTCTACCAAGGGTGACAAAGTGAGACTCTGTTTCAAAAAAAAAGAAGAAAGAAAGAAAAAAGTGCATTGGAAGCATAGGAAGGCCATTCTGAAGTTGGGTTCCAGAATGCTTCACACAAAGCCAGGTCAGTCTGTGATGGACGCTATGTGGAATGTGCTGCTGTGATGAAAATAAAATGCAGCTAATTTCAGCTCATTTCCCTCATAATTCTAATTTATGATATTCAAAGTTAGAAAATTTACTTCAATAAACAAAACATTATTCTTTCAGAATGTAAATTGTTTTATATGTTTATTTGAACCCTAAAAAGGGTAGTAAACAATCACTTGTACAATCAAGTAGCCGCAGCCTTCCCTGACACTCCAGCCACCCCTGCAGCTCTGTGGGGCACAGCTGGACAGGTCACAGCACAAGTTCCCACTCAGCAGGTACAGGTGGGCTCTAGATTCTGCTCTCTGACCAGATTCTGATCCTCAGACTGACAGTACTGCCAGGCCAGACTATGCCTGACTCCATCCTCACTATGGGACTAACTCTGAGCCCTGACAGCTCCAGCAGCCCATTGCAGATTAGGGACTGTCCCAGTCACATGATTTCTGGCTGGACAGCACAGCCCTGCACATGGGAGAGTAGGCCCATCACAGATCTGCAGCCTCCTGTCCCTGTGGGTAAGGTGGATGCTAAAGTGGCGGGGTTCACACTGGGTTTTGGGGCATCTGCCGGCAACCAGAGTGCCCTATAGGGCTACAGTGGACCCAGTTCCTGCAAAGGCTCCTCATGTAGAAGCAGGGACTGTGCAAAGGTGCAGGCCATCATTTTCTGGCTCACCCTGGCTGGCCCCCTAGTGTTAAGCCTCCTTAACACTCTCGGAACAGGCAAGACTGTGTGTTACCTGGCTTCCCCTCTGCTGTGCGGATGGGTTGTCTGGCACGATCTGAAATCATGTGGGTCTGGGGGATCAGCTTTTTTCCAAGTGATTTTCTTGTCTTATCTCTGTTCTCTCCTCATCCAGGAGAAATGGGCCTCCTGAGGACAGTGTGACGTGTAAGTCTGGCCACCAACCTGCCACCAGCCTGGGAGGAGGACCATGGATGGCATCATTGAGCAGAAGAGCACACTGGTGCACAGTAAAATCAGCGATGCTGGCAAGAGAAACGGCTTAATTAACACTAGAAACTTCATGGCCGAGAGTAGGGATGGGCTGGTGTCCGTTTACCCAGCTCCCCAGTACCAGAGCCGCCGTGTGGTGGCCAGCACTGTGCCACCCATCCTGGACAGTGGCAGGAATGAGCCCGCACAGCAGTTGCTGGACCCCAACACCCTGCAACAGTCAGTGCAGCCCCACTCCCGGGCCAACATCATCCTGTACTCAGAGGGCCTGCTGCGCTCCTGGGGCGATGGTGTGGCTGGTGATTGCTGTGAGACAACATTCATCGAGGACCGGTCCCCCACCAAAGACAGCCTGGAGTACCCTGATGGGAAGTTCATTGACCTCTCTACTGATGACATCAAAATCCACACGTTGTCCTATGATGTGGAGGAGGAGGATGAATTCCAAGAGCTGGAGGTCAGCGGCCTTCTGGGAATGGGTGGTGGGGGTTTCAGGGCTGCAGGGGGCAACCTGTGAGTACCTGGCAAAAGTTGGGGAATGAAACTAGTGTTCAAAAGTGCAGAGAAACTGAAGGCGTTCTTGGTGCCCTTGCCTGCTGAATGTCTGTGGAAGATAGGAGTGGAGTAAGGTTACGTGAACAGCAGTAAACTTGGTCAGAGATGACCCGAGGGGGTGGCCGTCGGATGGGGCTGCAGGTGGCAGCACTGGGGTGCCAGCTGGGGAACCCTACTGCCCTTCACCTGTCAGGGGGAGAATTGGAGGATATGTGGGAGCAAGATGAGAGAGACACTGGGTCCCAGAGTCACAGAGGCTGGAAGTGTGTAGGAGGGGGAGGCTTGAGAGGTGTTTCTGCTGTCACAGATGGGTTCCTTGATTTTACATTCCAGAGTGTCTCCTGAGAGATTAGAGGTTTATTTGTAGAGCTAAATGTTGCTAGAAGAAATAGTAGAAATTGATAGCCTAAAGGGCAGAGGAGTTAAATTATTGGATGAATCATTTCTTCAGTAGACTGGCCAGCAGGTGAGGGCATCTGAACTACATGCCCTGAAATATGCATCCTGGATGTGGTTTGTCCCTCCAGAGAGGACTCTGGTGGGAGTGTGAAAGCTGCGGCTCAGGAGCATTAACAGGGGGTAGGGCCCCTAGGCCCCCAGAGTCATCCCCCTACAGTGGGGCCACAGGGGGAGTGGCAGAGAGAGACAGAGGAAATGTGGTCAAAAGGAAGGGACATTCGTTTCTGGCTAAGCAGGGGGAATGTTTTCATAAGTGGATGATGCTGGTCAGAGCAGAGGATCCAGGTCCTGGGGAGGAGATGGCCCCCAGCAGGGGTCCAGGGGGCTGGCCTGTCTAGAGTCAGCCTGCTGCTCACCTGGGAGAGATTGGGGAGGGGGCGAAACAAATGGAGAGGTCCATGTGGGGTGAGGTCTGCACAGGTGGGACTTGGGGAAGATTGGAGATCATTCAGAGCCATGGTTTGGAGGAAGTGAGAATTCTAGAAGGCTCCTAGAGAGACTATCAGGTGGCAGAGTATGTGAGGACCCAGTCTGACCAGGCTCATGCCTTCCTCCAGTGATGCAGGCAACTGGCAGGTGGGTGTACTCTGGAGGGAGAAGGTTTGGAATAGAATTGGACCCCACTCAGGGAAACCACAGGGGAGTAATGGGCCAAGGGGACAGCAGGTCAGGTCTGGAGGTACCGACGAGGACCAGGCACAGCTGCAGGGAGACACTGTAATCGGAAAGGAGCGTCAGAAAGGAGGTCAATGTAGGTGTTGAGCAGCCTCAGCAAGAGGAGCCCCAGGACCCTGGCTGGCAGGGGTGGGGAACCCTTAGGGAGAGGGCTCAGGACCCACAACAGCCCTGATGGCACCTGTGGGGGTATAGGCTCATGCTCAGCAAGGGGATGAGGGCAGAGTGCATTAGCTTGTGTCCTGAAGGCTGTGTTAAGTGTCTGCTGCTCCTGAGATCTGAAGGTTTTGCTGAAAGCAGAAGTGAAATGCTGCCTGGCTGCAGAAAGTTAGGGAGATGGGAGCATGAAAACACCATGCTGAGCTCCTCACGGGAGGTCTGAGGACTCTGCACCAGCTTGTTCTGAAAGTGTCTGAAAAAGGGGTGGGACTCTGAGCTCAGGGTGGGGTCAGAAGTCCACTTCGGAGGCTGGCCCCACCCTGATGCATCCTGACGATGAGGGAAAGGAGGCTTGAGGGATGGTGGCAGGAGAGCTGCAGTCCAAAAGGACATGGGGGCAGAGGCAGCCAGCCTGGGAACTCTGCAGGGACTGATAAAGGGTAGAGATGCTGAGACCCGCTGCACATGGCGGACAAGATGGGGGAGACATGAACAAGAAGAAGTGAAGTCTCACTGAGGACCCTATCAGCCACCTAAGGGAGACTGGACTAAGGAAGGGTCCCAAACTCAGACAGGAACGGTCCCTAAGAGTCAGGAAGGCACCCTGAGGAGGGTGGGCCTGTAGAGCCTGAGAGCGTAGGCCTTCCAGAGCTGCCGACCTCTGGGGCCCAGCACAGCCACTGTGCCTCAGCGGGTGGGCCATGCCACTGGAAATCAATCCTGAGTGGATTGTTTAGAGTAGCTGAGAGTCATGCTCCCAAATTAATTCACAGGACACCCTGAAGTGTGCAGGCGTTACATGGAAGAATCGGGAACTGTGTGTGCTTGGCCTTGACCGTGGAGGGTTTTTGGTGGGAGAGCTGTGGTCAGAACTATCTTCAGAAGCTGCTCCGGCCAAGAGTGGGATGGGGCTGGAAGGGAGAAGGAGACAGGGAGGGATAGAGGGCTAAGGTCACCCAGTTCACCCTCTGCCCCCACTGAGGGGCCTGTCAGAAAAGATAAGGACAGCATTAGCAGGGTGACAAAATATCTACAAAGTGAAATTCGTCATTGATATACATGAGGAAAGAAGAGTGGCAAGGCGGGAGTCAGAGACATCCCACAGCCCCCAAGGCTGCCGGCAGAGGTTTTCAGCTTCATTGTGAGTTTTTGGAAAGTCAGCTGAAACATATAAAAAGCCCCAGTAGTAGAAGGCTTGTGACAATAAGTAGGCTGAAAAGGAAATTCTGAGTGTTTCTACCATCCCTTCTGACTGTGAGGATTTAGATGTATCCCCTCCCATGCCCACACACGTCTCTGGAGCAGGTACACTGCTGGGGTCAAAGGGACATGTCTGGGTGCCCCCCCCCATCCTCTTGGTCCTCAGGTAACCTCCCTGCTGCTGCTCATGACAGACTGCACTCAAGGGAATCTTGTCCTCCTCCTTTAAGTCTTGCGTGGGTTTCTGACTGAGCTTGCACATAAACCCAGCTGATATTTAAATGCAAGTTTTTTATTCCTAGTATGCCTGAATCCACATTTTGGCAGTCAATTACCAATTCCATCTTATTGTAATAATTTTTCACATAATGATCTCAGCAGGGACATGCAGGGTTTAGAACTCTAGAAAAGTCTGGAGTCTACTCAGAGCAGTCTCTTAAATTAGCAGTAGGAAATGGATGGAGGAGAAAGGCTTGTCTGTCCTGGTGGGTCCAGGCTTTAGATGGAGGTGCAGACTCCAGGGAGTTGAGCTTTCCCATCCAGTCTTATCCCCTGTGCTAGGACAGGGTGCAGTGCACCGGAAACACCTCTCAGTAATGCAGCACCATGTGCCTTCATGAGAACGGAGAACGACAGAGCCTCCTCTGCACTCAATGTTTATCTAGTGACCTTCAGTGGTGGTAGGAAGATGGAGTATGTTGGCACTTATATCCTGGCAGGAAAGGTGCTTCCCAATAACACTGATGGAATAGCAGATTGTCTGAAAAACAGGCTGCTCCTTAGGCACTTAATGAGAGCTTCTGCTGGACACCCACAGAGCCCACCCCCAACAAGAAATAGGGCTGCTCCCACAGCCTGCGAGGAGCAGAACTGAAGATGCTGTGTGGCTGCTGTTATTCCTACAACACTGTTTAGGACACCAGTGGAGGATTTCAGGGGTCACTCAGAGTGGTTAATTTTGTCCTTTATGAATTCAATGAAAATGAAGATATTTTCTTAGAAGTAGTCTTTCAATATTATTGCAGTGTTTTGGGGAGTTTTTTTTATAAATGAAGAAAAACTAATGACTGATTAGAAGTGCCATTATACAAAAAGTTCTGTGGTTTACTCTTTTTTCCATTTCATTAAATAATAAAGGGGCTGTATCGGTCAGCATTTGTTGCCTGACTAATTATCCCAAATGTAGAGGCTTAATGAACTCATTCGCTCATGTTTCTGAGGGTCACCAAGTGGAGCCAGGCACAGCTGGAGGCTTATTCTGCTGGCCTTGCCTGGGCTCATGCATTTGTCCCTAGTTAGTGGCTGATGGGCTGGGCAGCCCTGCTAGAGAATGTTGGGTGGCTGTTTGCTGCAGTGACAGAGGTGACTGCCTCACCCATCAGACTATTCTGGGCTTTGTCACATGGCAACTGTGCAAGGGATCCCAACAGCAGCAGAGAGGGTGAGTCCCACTGTATGAGGACATTTTAAGTTTTGGCCTATGTCCACATGTGCTTTCTTACTGGGCAAAGGAAGTCACGGGGCCAAGTCCAGAGCCAGCATGAAAGGGACTGCTTACAGTCACAGTATAGGACAAGGATAACAAATTGCCAGTACCACTGAGCAAAAAAAGCATAGACTTTTTTTTTAAACAGGCAAAATTCTGTTTTAAGATCATCTAATTGGACAGAGTGACAATAGCCATGGACATATTGTGACTGAAACAAAAATTATACATATTGATTGGGAGCTCTTTCCAGAAGGCAATTCTGCTTCAGAAAAGGAACAAAAATGTAATTTTAATGTCCTTAGGATTTTTGTGTCTTCACTTGGTCTATTGCAAAGTGACACTGTTTCCTGAAAAGCACAGTTTTCAGAAAGCCTTGCCCTGGGTGGGAGCAGGCCCCTCTCGCTGGGCCTCCTGTGTGCTAGGGCCCAGCCAGCATTTGTCCCAGTGTCGTGGCCAGGGGAGGCTTATCCCCAGCACTTACAAGGCAGAATTTCAAGGTCCAGAGAGGTTTGCTCACTTGACCCACATCTCTTCAAGAGCACATGGGGTTTTCAGGTTGCCTTGGTGGTGGTGGTGGTAGCACGAACAGGTTTTATAGCTCAGTTTGAGGATATTTTCAGAAGGTCTGCAGGCATTCAGCAGGTGTGTGATTTGTCATGCTCCCCCTTAAGTCACCGAGTGGAGTGGGTCCTGGTGTGATACCAGGCAGGAGGACTTAAGGGGGCCTCTGAGGGTGAGGGTACAAAGGAGCTGCTCATTATCCAATCACTGTGCCCTGTGTGACCACAAAGGCACTTACAGGGGTGCCTGCAGGACACTCCAGGTGTGATAATTGGACCTGGTGTCTGGAAGCCCAGGGCCTCCTCCCAGGTATGTGACCTCTGCTTCATCTGATTCCCAGCCAGTAGCTAAAACTGCAG